ACCGCACCAAAAAATTCGTAACTGGACTGTATACTGAGCTCGGGCAGACCCTGGACTTAGTAAACAGTTATCGTAGGAACCTATGTCAGTGATGGGCTTTATTTGTGACTACAATAAATCTGGTCGAGGCAGGGTTTGGCTACAGTAAAACTTGGGTAGGCTCCTGGATTTTACAACTAAATACGGTACTTTCGAGCGGGCTCTGTGGGTATTAATGACTACAGTAAAACTCGGGTGGGCCCTGGGTTTTAATAATTACTACGATATAACTCGGGCAAACCCAGGGTTTTAATAATAACTACGATATAACTCGGGCAGACCCAGGGTTTTAATAATTACTACGATATAACTCGGGCAGACCCAGGGTTTTAATAATTACTACGATATAACACGGGCAGACCCAGGGTTTTATTACTAATTACGGTAAACTCGGGCGGACCCAGGGCTTTAATAATAACTACGATAAAACTCGGGCGGACACAGGGTTTTAATAATAACTACGATAAAACTCGGGCGCACCCAGGGTTTTATTACTAATTACGGTAAACTCGGGCGGACCCATGGCTTTAATAATAAGTACGATAAAACTCGGGCGGACCTAGGGTTTTATTACTAATTACGGTAAACTGGAGCGGACCCAGGGCTTTAATAATGACTACGATAAAACTCGTGCGGACCCAGGGTTTTATTACTAATTACGGTAAACTCGGGCGGACCCAGGGCTTCGTTAATAGCTACGATACCACTCTATTAACGGCCGATATGTTAGTTAATTACGCGTCGAGGTTACGGTTTTGTTAAGTTAGATCGATTCTCAGGTTAGGGTTATTATCACCTGTTATAATTAATTTATTTATTCATCGGGCTTGATTGAGACGGATCGAAGGTCAGGGAAAAAATAATACGCACTCGTTGTTGAAATTATAATTCATTATTTCTTTGTCTTTATTCACTGTTGGCTTCTTTCGCCTTTTCGTCTACAATTTTACGATCTAATCGCGTTTCTCGCTGCACCAGTAAAATTCTGCACGGCTGTACCGTTTCGCTTACCGACTAAAAACCACGTGGTCTGCCTAATTGCGACTTATCTCGCATTCTCCAAGTACGACTATCCGGCTTCGATGTTCGCGTGTCAGTCCCTTGCGTTCCTTAAATTTTTGTTCTCGTGCCCTTGGCCTTTCCGATCTCACCATTTTCTTACCACGCAGTCGCAGTGGTGAAGTTCAATTTCGCGACTCCCTTTTCTCTTTTTGGCAACAGCAACTACTCTGCTCTGCCAAGCTCGCTTTCGATATTTCCTCTCGCTCTCCGTTGTCGTCGACCGCGCAGTCGCTGAGGTGGGCTTTGCCTTCCGTTCAGGTCGTTCGGTTTACTGCTCTCTCATGCTCTTTTGGGGTGAATTTCTTAGGCAACTGCGTAGGAGTTGTTCCCGGTCTCGCCTCTCTTCCCCGCTCTCCTCTCTTCCCCGCTCTTCTCTCTCCTTTCCACTTATTGAATAATGTATTTATGTTTGCTTTCGTCTAGGCTTATTATGCTAATTATTTAATTCTTTGTTTTTCTCTTAAAGCTTCAAAAAATCAACAGGATAACAATAGTAATAATAACAAAAATACGCATATTTCCTTCTCCCCTCCATGGGTATCGGGAATAATTGTGGCGGCATCGGAATCGCCGTCACATACTTTACACAAATAAATTCAATGGTATTGAATTCCTCAAAAAATAACTCCTCTGCCGGGAGGCTTGAATCAACTCCAATTAAGACTCCACCTCCCTGTCGAGAGGGACGGTCATACCTGTATATTGTGTACTTACCTGGAAAAACTTCGGAGCTAAAGATCTCCGACTTTAACCAGGTTTCTGTAAACACAATAATATAAGATGCAATGGAAATGCTATCAGAATACCAATTTTTGAAATTGGTACACTGGTTTGGCCTCGACTAGGATGTTTGACTCCCACGGGCCCTTCTTCTTTATGTTAGCCTCGAACTTTTTTACAACCATATTATCCGGCAAAAAGTCGCCCGAGCATATGGCTACAAAGAGCTCGTTCGGGACAGTTATCTTGAAAGATGAAATGTCTCAAGCATAAAAAAACTTTACACTATTACAATCGGCTTTAGTTTTGTCTTGTATATTTATTTATTACATTAAAGTTATCAAATATCTACAACGTAAATATAGTACACGACTCACATCAAGTGAAAGGGGGCAAGGACAGGTGAGTTAGGATGTTTGTTACAGTTAAATTACCAGAATTTTCAGAATATATCAAAAAATACAGTTCGTTATATTGCGAACTTAAAACGCGAAATGGGTCATGTACTTCAAAATTCGTCTTACAAATATCAAGACCTTACAGGGATGGAGAACCGTATTTGACCCAGTAGGTAGCTTGAATTTACAAGACCAGTTATTAATTTATGAAGGAACATGACACCGTGACAGGTTCGACGATCCTTGAGGGAGGGCATGTTCAGTAGACGCAGTCTATCCACGTTAGATGGTAGGTGACGATGTGTTTCCCAGTTTAAACCACGTAAAGCAAAGAAAAGGAACTGTTTCTGTACCGATTCGATAAGGTCTTGATGATTGGTATATTGAGGAGACCAAACACACGAGCAGTATTCCAGAATTGGACGAACCAAGGAAATATATAAGTGTTTCGTGGTATAGGGATCCTCAAATTCCTTAGACCAACGTTTAACAAAGGCATAAACCCCTTTAGATTTACTAACAATAGTGCCAATATGATCAGAGAAGTTTAAGTTGTGGTTGAATAACACTTCAAGGTCTGTTACGGAATTTATGCGTTCAAGATCATTCGACCCAATAGCATATGACGTGAGGAGAAGCCTTTTCCGATAAAAGGACATCAATTTACATTTCGAGTTATTTAAAAACAGCAAATTCTGGATGCACCAAGAATGAAATTTGTTCAGATCGGCTTGCAAGAGATCATGGGAATTGGGGTTCGATAATGGCAAACAAAGTTTTACGTCGTCAGCATACATCATAACACAAGAAGAGAGAACTACTTGAGGCAAGTCATTTATGAAAATTCCAAACAGTAGGGGTCCTAGGTGGCTCCCTTGCGGAACGTCAGAATTCACGTGAACAGAGTTTGAGATTGTGCTTTTAAAAGCTACTCTCTGAGTGCGGTTCGAAAGGTATGTTGAAATCCACTTATTCAACATGATCGGGAATCCTAGTAATGTTAGTTTTTTTAATAATAACTGATGGTTCACAGAATCAAAAGCTTAACTGAAGTCCGTAAAAATAACATCAGTTTGAATGTTATTTTTAAAAGCGCTTCTGATGACTGAGGTAAATTCCAGAAGATTTGTTGTCGTTAACCTACGTTTCATAAAACCATGCTGAGTTAGGGACATTACTGAGCTGCATTGGTGCTGTAGCTGAGCGGTAATAAGCTGTTCAAAAAACTTGGGGATCGCGCTCAGTTTTGCAATACCGCGGTAATTTTTAATGTCCGATTTGCTTCCTTTTTTATGAAGTGGAATGATAAACGATTTCTTCCAAACTTCAGGGAAAAACGAATGAAGGAGGGATATCTGAAAAAGTTTAGATAAACGTTTGCACAAAGCATCGGCACATTTTTTATAACACAGCTCGGTACAAGGTCAGGGCCCGAAGAAAAAGACATCTTGATTGTTTTCAGATTTTGTAAGACATCATCCTCACTAATTAAGGGCGTGAAAATACAGTTGGAGTGAGGAAGTGGGTAGGGGTAGGATAAAGTGTTATCGTAACTGAAAGACGAGTACGTGGACTGGAAAAATTTTGCAAATAAGTTCGCAATATCGGCGTCACTAGAGGTAGATGTCGTCACAAGGTGAAGGCAAGATGAACATTGTTGCGATTTTCGTTTCGAATTAACAAATGCGTAGAACTGCTTGGGGTTGTCTTGGAATTCTATTCCGGTTTAGGTAACTATTGTAACATACGGAATTGTGGACTAAGAAATTTGAACGAGCTATTAGATACATCGAATGGTGAACTTGAATTCTAAAATTTCGTAAAAAGTCTACCCATGGAATTTTTCAGGAAAAAGAGAGTCTACGAGAGAACCACGGGGGCTTTTGAGGCGTGTTTGCTGAGGAAAATGAGGGAACGAACGTATCGAATGCAGAATAGGGTATACCATAAAACTGGACTACTATGTAAGGGATCATCGTTTGAATCCATAAAGGACCAGTCGAGTTCCGATAAATGCCTATTCATTTCTGCAAATTTAGCTCTTCGAAAACATCGAAAAGATGCTGGTTCGATTTCGGAACATGACAGTAATGGATGAAACTTTCCAACGTATTCTCTTTGCGTTATAATTCCATCTAAGCCTTTGGCACTTGCATTGCTAGTACCGGCAATACTAATATGTAGTTTTCATTTTTATGTTTCAAAATTTTCAATTTTTATTTTATACCCTTGCAGAGGGTATTATAATTTCAGTGAAAAGTTTGCAACTCAGTGAAAGATACATTTCCAACCCTAAAAAGTATATATATTCTTAATCAGTATCACCAGGAAAGTCGATGTAGCAGCCATGCCCGCCTGCCCGTCCGTCCGTTTATATGCAAACTAGTCCCTCAGTTTTAAAGCTATCTGCTTGAAACTTTCCCAAAAGTTGTCTTTCTATTGCAGGTAGTATATAATAAGGAACGCGCCGGATCGGGCGAGTATATCATATAGCTCTCAGAGGAAAAATCGAAAAAAAATTTTTTTTAAATATTATAACTTTGTTGTTATACCGTTTGGTCAGAAATAAGAAAGAGTGGACTGTATTAATTTTATTCTTGCCAGTTGCGAAGCCTTTTTGACACTGAATTTAATTTCGCAATATGACGCCGTCTTAGCGGCGTTGCCAGAAACCGAAAAAATATTGTATACATGTTTTCTTATACATAGATTAAATATATAGAATAGAATAGAGATGGCATTATGGGCCTATATATTAGAAATGATTAAAGCTGCAAGCGTTCACGAACATCCCGGCCCGCCCTGAAACACAGTTTCTGAATGGGGCAATACAGCAACTTTCGTGATGGGTCTGATCATCTCTCCTGTCGGGGTCTTCAATTTGACTGCTCTAACGAGGTTGTCCTTCCCTGGATAGGTTTCCATAACCCGAGCGATGTGCCAAGATGCCGGTGGTGAATTGGACTCTTTTACGAGCACAACATCACCGGTCGAGATGTTGGGTGTTGAAGTAGTCCATTTTGGACGTTGCTGCAGAGTAGTCAGATACTCCTGATGCCATTTTCTCCAGAATCCTTGAAGCATAGACTGGATGCTTTGCCAGTATCCTAATCGACCCACTGGGATGTGACTCAAATCGGGATCTGGCACTGTTGTTAATGGTCGCCCAATTAAGAAGTGAGCGGGTGATAAGTAGTTGGTTTCCGTATCCGGTGTGTAGCACAAGGGGTGTGAATTTATCACTGCCCTTATTTGAGCAAGAAGTGTGCGCATCTGCTCAAAGGTGAGCGTTGAGTTTCCGGTAATTCTGCGAAGATGCAGCTTGACACAACGAACTGCCGACTCCCATATCCCTCCCCAGTGAGGGGCTCTCGGGGGAATTAGTACCCATTGGATACCATCATCCGCTAGTGTGCTAGACACGGTGTCCTTGTGTGCCTGTGAAGAAAGCAATTCTTGCATCTCGTCGAGGGATCGCTTGGCTCCAATAAAGTTTGTGCCATTGTCACTGTAGATCTTACTGCACTTGCCACGTACCGATATAAAGCGCCGCAAGGCATCCAAGAAGGTCTCTGTCGTCAAATCTGTGGCAAGTTCCAGGTGGATGGCCGAGGTGACCATGCAAACAAATAGGCATATGTAGCTTGTGTAATGCGTACGCTGGGTAAATCAGCCATTTGTTGCTGGGATGTGTGGTAGCGTTGACGAAAGCAAGTTAAACAGGAGTGTGTTATTTTGCGAATTAGATTACGTGCTCCAAATATCCAGAATTTTTGCCGAACAATAACAAAAAGTGAGGAAACGCCAGGGTGGAGGTTCACTCGGTGCTCATGTTCCAGAATCAGCTTTGAGATGCGGTGTGTTTTTGGTAGCAATACTGGGTGTTTTGCATCGTTTGACAACTGCGATTGGTGCAGTCGTCCGCCTACCCTCAGCAAATCGTTTTCGTCGATTATGGGTGCCAGTTTGATCAGCTGTGATCGGTTCCTTAAGGGATTTTTACTGAAGAGCAATTGGTAATCGTCTTTGAAACAACCTTGTGCTTGTTTTATGCACAGAATCCTTGCCTCCTTAACTTCATCAAATGTGAGAGCGCAAGATACCCTTTTGCGAGTTAGGTTTCGTGTACGTTGAATGAATCGCTTCACGTAGCCGACAATATGGACGAGCTTGATCCAAGAAGACACTCGCTCGGTTAGTTCATCAAGTGGATGAACCGGATTTGCTTCAGCCAGTGTAGCCAAACAGTTGGATTTCACTTCTCCTTGAATGCGTTTGTCTGTAAGAGATAAACCAAAACGTGAGTCGTTTAACTTTACCAGATAGTGCACCTTGTCCCGTAGCCATAAGGGCCCAATCCACCACAAATGGAAGTCGATGAGATCAGCAGCCATCAGTCCCCTGGACGCACAGTCCGCTGGGTTTGTTTTGGAATCTACGTGATGCCAAGTACTCCTTGGAATAGTGTCAAGGATTTCCGAGGTTCTGTTTCCAACAAATGTCTTGAGTTGGGCTGGCGTATACGATAACCAGGTGAGCACTATTGATGAGTCGGACTAGCCAAAAACAGTTATGTTTTTGTGGCGCAATGCAGATGTTATCGAGCGAATCAGTTGGCTGAGGAGAAGTGCTGCGCAAAGTTCCACACGTGGCAAGGATTGTTGTTTCAGTGGAGCCACCCTTGTTTTCGCAGCCACAATGGATACCGAGATGGAGCCATCGTCATTCGTGACTCTGCTGTACACCACAGCAGCATATGCCTTGGTTGACGCATCCGAAAATCCGTGGAGTTCGATGTTGTCCGGGTCGTTGGCGACAAATCGTGGTGGTTGAAATGTTTGAAGATTGTCCAGATCTGCTCTCCACTTTAGCCAGTTGTCCGCCAGTTTAGTTGGGAGTGGGTCATCCCAATCCATATTTAAGAGCCATAGCTTTTGGAACAGGATTTTGAATTGGATTACAATGGGTTCCAAGAGTCCGAGAGGATCAAATATCCTCGAGACGTCGGACAAGACTTGTCTCTTTGTGCAATCAGGATTTTTAGCTAGACCGACATTGTACGTTAGAATGTCTTTTCCAGGATGCCAGTACAGTCCGAGAACCTTTACTGGTGACGTTTGTGCAAGTTGTGTGTCGCTATCATCCGTTTGTATACATGGTGTATTGGATACCCATTTCCCGAGTTCAAGATTTGCACGAGACATCAGCTGAATCAGCTCGTTTCGGTTCCGAAGTAGCTCATCCTCACTGTTTGACCCAGTAAGAACGTCATCTACATAGAAATCCTCCAGCAGGATTTTCGACGCTTTTGGGTATTCCTCTTGATGATCTACAGCAAGTTGTTCCAGCACTCGCACGGCCAGGAATGGTGCGCATGAAGTTCCGTAGGTTACAGTGCACAATTGGAAGTGCTTGATGGAATCGGATGGATCTTTGTACATTCGAAAACGAAGGCACACAGCGAATAAATCGCGCTGGATACTGGGACCTGTAAACAGGGTGTCATTTAAAGCCTTACCATTGGCGTCACGAAAAGATCCATCCAAAACTACTCGTAGCTTCCGACCCAAAACTGGGTGGTGTGGTAGATAAAACTGATTTCCAGTAGCGTTTTCTTCAGGTGGCACCTCTCGCATATGACCCAGATTTGTGTATTTCCGCATAAAGTATACGTACTGTGTTCGCAGCTGCTCGTTCTGTTGCAGCCGCCGCTCAACCGATTTAAAGCGTTTGAGCGCTCCTTGTAGAGTTTCTCCGAAATCGGGGTTTTCAGTGTTGAATGGAAGATCCACGATATACTTCCCGTTTTCATCGCGACTGTGAGTGGCGAGAAAGTGCTTCTCGACCTGATCATCCTCCGGATCCAATTTTGGGCTGCTTTGAACGTTTTCCAATTGCAAAAATTTCTGAAGCGTGGCGCCTATGTCTACTGTTGTAGTCAGTGCAATAGCGTTGCTTGGATTCGATGTGGTGAGTGAGGTTATTACTCATCCGAACACCGAAGAAATGGCGATAAGATTATCCTTGTTGTCGTACATCTTTCGTCCTGTAAACACCGACCATACGTTTTCGCTTCCCAATAGAATGTCAACAGGTGAGTTTGTGTTGAATTCTGTATCCGCCAACTGCAGATCCTTGAATGCCTCGAGTGCCGATGCATCGATGTTTTGGCGTTCCAGCGAAGAAGTAATTCTGCCTAGCACGTGGGCGTAGACAGCCAAATGATCCTCGGAGATACGGGACTTGATATGCAAAGTGTTGCATCCCCTTGTCGTGTCTGCTTTCACCGAAGAGATGCCCGTAACCAAGATGCGTGATGCCGAACGTGTCAATCCGAGAGCTTGAATGCAACGCTCGGATACGTACGAGAGCTCTGAGCCTGTGTCCAATAAGAGACGGCATGTTACGTGGTCACCTTTTGCGTTTTGAACATAAACCATGGCAGTTGGTAATATGCTTCCCTTAATTTCCGTTTCCTGTGCAGATTTTGCAGTGCCCTGTGCACATACAACCGATTGAGTGCCCTCTCCTTGGGCGAAATGACTGAGAGTCACCGAAGTGTTGTTGGACGCTCCTCCCCTGCTATCTGGGCAAGATTCCCAATAGCCTGTGGATTCGCTTGGACATGTAGAAGGGAGTTATGATTTCCCCTGCATTGCCTACATTTGTATGTCGACTTGCACTTGCTGACCCCATGACCAGGTCGCAAGCAGTTGTAGCACAGTGATTTCTCCTTTACGAAGGATCGCCTCTGCATCCCAGACATATCCAAGAACAGCTGACAGTTATACAGAGAGTGTTCTGTTGAATTACATTTGATGCAGCCACTGCCTTCGAGCGCAACCATCGATTGTGTGACCCTTTTTGGTTTTTCTGCATGTGTTGTTGTCTTGCTACCAGTCGCAAGCTCCCTTTTACTCAGTTACAGTTCCTCGCAACGAGAATCCAGAAATTTGAAGAATTCCTCGAGAGTGGGGGAATCTCCATGTCCATGCTGCGCTCAATCCACCTACGCCGCGTGTCGGCGTCCAGTTTCTCCAGGGCCAGATAGATGATCCAGCAATCGCGTCCCATCTGGTTGACTGCATCCAATCCGCGAATAATTTCGTTTGCTCCGTCTGACACCTTCCGTAGAATTGATGCATCTACCTTTGTAGTAAAGGGCTGCACGGCCGCATTCAAAACGGCTTATGACACATTCATCTGCCAATGAGTTGAATGAATTCGGCTGCGAATTGCAATGAATGTGAATGAATGTGTGCGCCGCCGCTGTACTCAACTCATCGAACTCACACATAGAGAGAGCGAATTGAATGCCAACAGAACCGGGTAAAAATAGTGAGTGCGATGAATGACGCATTGTTTCTTTTTACGTGAGCTGTATTTACTATTGCGAAATTAAAAAAGAGACAATAATACAATGTTTATTTTCATTTCATGTTATTTCATTTCATTTCATGTATTTCTCTTAAAAACTAATTATTAATTTTTCCTTCTTAATTATTATTTATATTCGAATTTAGAAACATAATTTTATTTATGCTTTCTGAATTTTTGGATTTACTGCTGCGTTTTTCAGTTATTAAATTTCTGGCATCAGAAAACGCTCTCTCAGAAGCCGCGCTAGTTGCTGGTATAAAAAAAATCTTACAACTAGTCTTAAATAAAAGGGGAAACATTTTTTTATGGTCGGTTCACCAACTAAGGCAATCAAGACAATCTGAAAAAATTATACTTGTGTTACAATAAGCTTTAATTTCCTTGTCTATTTGATCAATTGTGGTTGTAGCTTTTTGGACTTCGATGAAATCAACAAATGCATCATCATGACAATTTTGGGCATTGCCATCATTTTCGTTGGAAACCTCATCTAATAAAAAACCCACTACGATTTCTTTGCAGTCATCTATAATGGTATTTTTCTCATTTTCTGAAAATAACAAATAAATTTTGTTGGTGGAAACAAAAACAGGGCTATTTTATGAAATTTTGTAATATATTGCGGAATGGTTTCTGAAATATGGTTTAGCAAAACTAATTTGACTTTGGCAAGAAGATCACTATCGGCTATGTTTGCTTGGCAAAATTTTTTCAATTTATTTACGTAGGGTATAGTCAAATGAATTGTTGGATATTTATTACCTTCCAATTATGTCGATATCTCTGAAAATGTTTCTAGAAGACACGTTATTGATCGAAGCTCATTTAAGTGAATTAATTCTATTCCAATTGTTTCATTTTTTTCTTTTAGAATCTTTGTGATATCAATCCAATTTTGCTCTATCGACTTCAATAAATAAAAAACAGTATTCCAACGCGTTGGGCTAAAGCTTTTTAAGGAAATATTTAAATCTGAATTGGAGCCGGACTTTTTAAAGTATTTCACCAATTTGCTGCACTCAACTACTATTTGTGATAGCTCTGGTACTGTCTTAACAGATTTTTCAACTACGTTATGTATTAAATGGTTGATGCAGTGAATTTGATCGTATGTTCCAAAAGCCGTTCTCATATTCGATCCCCTATCTGTAACAATCATGGGATGGTCTTCTTCGAGGTCGCAAGAAGTGAGTTTCGTACAGAGACGCCACATTCCTTGATATTGTCGTTGGATTCGGCAACAGTTGGTCAACGTCCACGTTAGAGCCGTAGGTACTGCCCACCTTGATCAGAAACTTTCTGAATTCTTTCAGGCCTGAATCGCTGATCAACTTAAATGGACGACAATTTTTTATTATCCATTCAGTAGCAATAGTGGTTGCCTCCTTTTTTGTATCACAATTAACATTAATCAGTGACAGGTTGTTGTTTTTACTGCAGCTCAGTAAGTAGCATTTATGCTTAACTAAATTAGATGTGCTTCCCGTATATTTATAAATGTTCTAACATAACTTGCATGCCACAAAATTATTTACTTCCTTTCCATTGAAGTCTATAACGCCGCCAAAAATGTCCCATACCTTACTTTGACCTCTTTTTCCATTTATAGAATACTCCCCGCTTAAAAGTTTTTCCTTTAATATATTAGGCAATTTATCAAATACCGATACCTAAGATCAGAGATTTTAGTTTACAGTTATTATGGTTTTGCGTTTAAAGAGACGTCACCACTAACATGAACCGGCGTGCTCGAATGAGCCTGATTTGCAGCCAGTCGCTCAAATAGTTGTTGGTTTTGTTGTAGCAAATTTACAATTGCGTCGCCGTTGGAGTGCAGACCGTTGCTGCCATTCACAATGCCTGCAGATGTACTCGGTTGTAGAGCATCACTTCTGTCCTTGAGAATTGCGTTCGCCCTTAGGTACTTTTCTTCGTAAATTGCGTTATCCATCTCCGGATCGACGTAACCTTATACCTCCTCGTGGAAAGCAATGCAATCGCCGAACTGGTTGAACTCCTTCCAAACTTCGTGGAGAAGTTGTATGCGCGTGGAGATCTCCGCCTGTGTTGCAGATTCCGCTTGCTCAGCCCATGAGAGACAACGTGTGATGTTGCCCTTGAGTCTGGAACGGCTTTTCAATAATGCTTTTAATTGTTCCATAGCAAACAATTACCCTGAGGATCAAAGCACTTCACTAACTGTCCAAGAATCCGGAACGAAGGACCAACAATATGGTCAGAAATAAGAAAGAGTTGAGTTGGGTATATGTGGACTGTATGAATTTAATTTCGCAATATGACGCCGTCTTAGCGGCGTTGCCAGATACCGAATAGATATTGTATACATGTTTTCTTATACATAGATTAAATATATAGAATAGAATAGAGATGGCATTATGCGCCTATATATTGGAGATGATTAAAGCTGCAAGCGTTCACGAACACCGTTCCAGAGGGAATTATAATTTCAGTCAAAAGTTTGCAACGCAGTGAAGGAGACATTTCCGACCATATAAAGTATATATATTCTTGATCAGCATCACCAGAAGAGCCGATCTAGCCATGTCCGTCTGTCCGTCCGTCCGTTTCTACGCAAACTAGTCCCTCAGTTTTCAAGCTATCTGCTTGAAACTTTCCCAAAATTTGTCTTTCTATTGCAGGTAGTATATAAGTAGGAACGAGCCGGATCGGGCTACTATATCATATAGCTGCCATATAACTGAACGATCGGAAAAGCCATAACTTTGGTGTTTTTAAAGTTAGGAAGTTGGGAATTTTTATGAGTATTAAGAATGCATCATATGAATAATTTTGAAGAATATAATTTACAGAATATTCTGCAAAGGTATATCAACTTCAGCTCCGTCCGAAGTTAGCTTTCCTTTCTTGTTTTTAATTTTTTTTTTTGTTTTTGGTAATATTTAAATATTATTAAATCACGGTTTTTCTTAAATTAAAATCGGCCAACAATATGACATAGCTGCCATAGAAACGATAGAAAAATGCAGCGCAAAATCAACATAGCTTCATTGTTTTTAATAATAAAGGTATTGAAATCGAAATGTAGTCGTTTTGTAAAAACTGCATGGGTATATAAACTTCGGCTTGCCAAAGCTTGCTTCCTTTCTTGTTTTTTTCAATTCCAAACACGAATGTTTTGTCTTTCTGGGGACCTCCTGGGATCGTTTATCGATAAATGATAACCTCCAAAATAGGAGCACATATACAAAAGTCTCACTAGTCAGAATAATCCCGTTTTCTGGGCCTACATCTATATTTTATTGGGCATTTTAATTGTATGATAATCGGACGACTATATCATATAGCTGCCATATTGGCGATCGACGAATTTATCTGAAAAGCTGCTTTATTGATTTTAACCCTATAAGAATACAAATCGAAATAAAGAATAACAAAATGTAACAGCTGCCTGGGCATTCCTTTCATGTTTTAACCTCTGTTAAGAGACATCGTTAGCGATATTGCTAATTAGACTGTTTCACTGTCTATTAAAATATATAATACCAATAAACTAGAAAGACATATTTGCTTGCACATGCGCCTCTTAACATCGAGTATTTCATTAAAGCCTCAATTTACTTCGAGTTCAGGTAAAGTCGCCGCAGATCTGCATAGCTATAGCTGTCATATAACTGAACTATCTAAAATGCCATAACTTTGGTGTTTTTAAAGTTAGGAAGTTGGGATTTTTTATGGTTTTTATATACGCGTAGAAAAACCACGTAGATGTAGAAAGCGCAGCTTGCAGTTGGGTCGCTAATAAGCTTTACGCGTATGTGAGTGTTCGCGTCGAAACGATGACAATACATCAGAAGATGTTTGATCAGGGGAAAGCCGAGAAACGAAAATTTGTTTCTTTAGTGGAACCACTGAAAGGAATTTTGATGGAGCAGACATTGTTTGTGCAAAACCAACTTGAGAAGATTGTCCGGACTCAGTAGTCCCTTGTGATGGTGATGCTACATTCTGAGAGATAGGTGGATCGACTAATTGTGAATCCACTACAAAACGGAATTCTTAGACGGACCTGGTTTCATGCATTCTGTTACAGATTGTTCGGATACCGAATCTGCTGCTGATCTCAGCAACATTTGGGGGTTTGCTGCAATCAGCTGCTGATCCGCCGGAATGCTCTGTTGTTCTTTTGTTTTCGGTTGCGGGGTGTTCCCTTTTTGCTCCTTACCACCAGTGGCCTTTTTGCGGTTAGGAGACTCTTCTAATAGCTTGCGACTAGTAAACTGCGAATCCAGCGCAGAGAGGAGATCATCAGCTCGGCGAAAACTATCTCTAGCAACTCCGAAACAGCTAATCAACCCCATCAGGCCGCCTTTAGTTTGGCGCATGAACGATTTCATCTCGTTCGCA